TGCTCGGTGCGAGGGCCGGTGGCGAGCCAGTCCCTAAAAGGTGCTGGCGGGCGGCGGGGGAGGTACCGGGGCAGCCCCCTCCCGGCACGGCCCCTCCCCAGCTTTTAGGCAGCTCGGCGGGGCGGGGAACGCAGTGCCGGTGCTCCCGCCGCTCCCGGTGCTCCCCGACCCTCTGCCGCCCCGCGCCTCGCCGCCGATACCGCGCCACCATGGAGGCCATCAAGAAGAAGATGCAGATGCTGAAATTGGACAAGGAGAATGCCATCGACCGCGCCGAGCAAGCGGAGGCTGATAAGAAGCAGGCAGAGGATCGCTGCAAGCAGGTGGGTGTCCCACGGGCTTCCTCGGCATTACCTGTGTACTCTCCACTCTAGGGGTGTCCAGCCCCAGGACCCTGTTCTTCTGGAAGTCCAGCCTGGGGACCCTCCACACTAGGGTTGTCCTGTCCTGGAAACCCCGTCCCACTGGGTGCCCAGCCCTGGGGATTCCATCCCACTGATTGTCCAGCCTGGGGACGCTTCACTCTCTAGGGTCATGTAATCCCCATACTGATCTTCCCACACTGGTTCTCCAGCCTGGAGTCCCCTGTCCTAAGCATATCCTGGCCCAAGGACCTTGCCCCACTGGGTGTCCTGCTTGTGGATGCCAGCTCTAGGGATTGACAGCCCTTAAGACCTTCCCTCTCTGTGACCATATCCCCAGGGACATCACCCCCCGTGGATCCAGAAACCAGCACTTCAGTCTTTTTCCCTTGACCCCTTACGCTGGTCCCCCCAAACATGTTTTATCTTAGTGGGACACCCCAGTTCCACCTCTCTATCTCCATGCCAGGGGGATTGCATACTCCCACCGCAACCACAAAGAGATGGGAACACAGACTGGTGTCCCCAGGAGCTGTTTCCCCAAGTCAGGAGCTCTCCAGTCCCCTATACAGGGAAGGAGACCACCAGTCTCTTACCTTCACCAGGATCAGGGATGATGGGGGTCCAGGAGGCTGCTGTACACCAAGAGCCCCCCAAGGACCCGTAGACCCAAAGCTGTCAGAGGACATGTCCATGCCCATCTTTTCCTGCTGTGCCCCACACAGGCTGGGTGTCCCCAGGAGGAGAATGGGAGGACAGATCCCCTTCCAGCCTTGCAGACACTGCCATCTCCCCTGACCGTCACTCTTTGTACTTTCCCCAGCTGGAGGAGGAACAGCAAGGCCTGCAGAAGAAGCTGAAGGGCACTGAGGATGAGGTGGAGAAGTACTCCGAGTCTGTCAAGGAGGCCCAGGAGAAGCTGGAGCAGGCAGAGAAGAAAGCTACAGATGTAAGTAGGCATGCCAGCAGCTCCTCCCCTGCACAGACTCTGGACCTCGGCCGGGGGGGGGGGGGGGGGGGGGGGGCAGGGGGGTGGTAAAAGGAAAAGGGGGCCCTTATATGGAAAGCGTCCGAGGGGAAGATTGTCAGGATCCCATTCCTTCGATGTTGACACTGAACCGGGCTGATGGGTCCTGTGTGGGGGTGCAGGGCCCAGGCCAGCTGTGGTGAGCAGTGCTGGTTGCTGGTCCTGTCTTGGACTTTGTGGGTAGCTTACAGCCTGGCTCCCCAAAGCTAATGGGGACAAGTGTCCCATGCTGTGTCACAAGTCCCAAGGCACACACTGCCTCAAGGCTCGTAGGAAAAACTGTGGTACTTGCTAAACTGTGGCAATTCAGAGAAACAGAAAAATCTCTTGCTGTGGTTAGCTGCTGAGTGCTGGCTGCAAGGAAGAATGCTTGGGGTGTATGGAAGGGGATTTGGGGTCCAGTGGTCTACTTCGTACCCTGAGAAGGGCAAGGCCAGGAAGAGTTTTATTTAGTGCCATGACTGATGTGTCTCCTGGGAAATAGATCCGTCTGTGGAGATGTTAGGAAGGTGTTGAAATTGGCTTGTGCCTGGCCAGGATGAAGGGTGGAACAGCTGTGTGCGGCCACGGGGCCGCTTGGGAATGGGGTATAACGACCTGTGGTGCCACACAGGGTATTTGACACCCTATAAATAAATACTCTTTTTGATAGCCAGCCCCTCTTTGATGAAAACCAACCCTGGAAACTGGAGGAGAAGCTAAAGGAGAGCCGTCTGGAGCACAGCCAGCAGGGCATGGCCAGGCTTTTCAGGATTGAGAACAAAAAATTCAATCCTGGTTTATGGAGCTAAATGGGGGAGATGCGTCAAATCTCTGAGGCTGCCGTCAAGGACAGGGGTGAGCGGACAAGGACGAGCAATAGCAACACCAGTCCTGTGGCAGCCTAGAGCCCTTGGGCAGCAGCCAGGGGTCTCCTCACACATCTTTGCTGATTCTACAGATGACTCTCCTTTAAAACATTGAGAATCTTCTGGAAGGGCATATTAAACTTAGCATGGGGCAGGCATGACAAGGTGGGCAAGGTGGCGGCTGTTGATCTAATTGGTTCTGTGCTGGTATGGGACAGGGCAAACTCAGTGTGGCTGAGAGTGGATGTGACGCTCCCCGTGCAGGATTCAGAGGAAGGGGCAAACAGTGGTGCTGGGCAGACGTCAGCTGTGGGGTGTAGGGTGGTTTGCTGCTGGCAGTGGGCTGTGCGATGCCATTCTGGCCAGGGAGAGTGTTTCCCTGCTCTTGGTCTACAGCAGTTAGGCAAATCTGTGGGCTTCAGCTCATATGGAGAGTCCCATACCAGAAGATACAGTGGATGGGAGCCACTGGGGAAGGACCAGAGCAGGAGCCATGATGAAGGAGCAGTGTCAGGCTGGAGGTTGGCTGCATCACAGCTAGGTCTCCAGCACCAGCACAGCTCTCCCAGGTCCATGCCAAAGCTTGGACAGGCTGCGCCATGTGTGGGGCTCTGGGAGTCACCCCTCCGCACCAGGGACTTGAATGTGCTGACAGCTCTAAGTGCTAGGGCTGTGCTGCACCTCGCACTGCTCCCTAGTGCGAGGTGCAGCACAGCTCCTGCTACTAGCAGAGGAAGCGTTGGGAGGACCCCCAGAGCACACTCACCCAGGCACCCCCATGTCCTCCCTGGCTGCCAGGACAGTGTGTGCCTCTGAGCATAGAGTGAGATGTCCCAATTCCTCAGACGGCTCAAGCTCATACCAGCGATCCAGGCAGCCTCCTGCTCTTGGCAAAAATGTCAATGCCTTAAAAGAATAAACACCCACCTCAGTATGGCCCTGGATGCAGGGGCACGAAATCCATGAGGACTGCACTGAAGAGTGCAAATACTTTGCCCCAGGCACTTGGAGAGGTGTCCGATAGTGCACAGAGCCAGGAATGCCTGACTCTTGACCAGTAAAACCACAGAGCTTCCCAGCAGCTCTGCGAGCCCACCGTGGTCCTAGAACCTCTTGTCACCAGGAGGGACAGCCCATGGTGCCCAGATCAGGATGGCCATGGGCTGCTGGAAACAGTGCAGCTGGGACAGCAGGTTTAGACCAGAAAAGTGCCCCTCATGCCCAGCATTGGCCTGTCCACAGCCACCCCAGAGGGGCCTTTGGGAACTCTGCCGTTCCCAGGCCACGATCCCAAAAGTTTCACCCGTGTTCCCGCCCCAGCTGCTTTCCCCAGCCAAGACTTTGCTCTTATTTGGCGATTCTCTGAGCTGGTGGGAGGGAACTGGACTCTGCTGGGAAGTGACTGCATCTCGGGGTGGGGCCACCGCAGGAGGCACCTAGCCTGGCTACTAGGGGATCAGGGTGGTTGTCCCCTAACCCGTCCCCCTTCTGCCTGCAGCTGGTTTGTCCTTGCCCCACTGCTGCCAGGAACTCTTTTTTTCTGCTCTGGGCTCCTGTGTCCTAGCTTGTGCATTACTGACATTCAGGCCTCGGACCGGGAAGGGGCAGGACCAGCTAGGCCCACGGCCAAGCCCAAGGCTGTGTGCTCCCAGGGGACCCACAGTATCGCCTCTTCCGCTGCCTCTTGGCAAGGGGACACAGAACTGCAGGGTGCAGATAGCAGTGGGGCTGAGTCACCCCCAGAACCCCTGGCCCTGGAGCTGATGCCAGCTGGCGAGGTCAATCTGGGAACTGGCATTCCTGGAGGCAGGTGTGAAGTGCAGCCAGAGAGCTGTCAGTACATCTTAAGGGAGGACTGAGTGCCAGCAGCTCCAGCTTCTTCTGGTGGATCGAGAAATCTGCCCCAGCCAGGATGGACAGCCAGAAACTGGAGGTTTGACCTCCCCTATAGGGCACAGTCCCCAAGGCAGGAGGTGCCAGGGTCTCCATGGGCCCCATGAGTCTCTGTGGGGCTGCAGGACAGGTCCTCACATTGGGGAGCAGGTACCAAGGGACTGAATGCGATGGATGCTGGGCACCTGGCTGCAGCCCACATACTCTCAGAGGATGTTCAGGAGCAGGCTTTGCTCATGCCTCTTACTGATTTCTCATAATGAAAAAGTCCACAACCCTCCTTAGCTCTGTGGCAATGGCTGCAGAGGGCAGCACTTGGGGAGTACACATAGGTACATTGCTCCTGTGGCTATGGGGGCTCACACAGGATGGGCTCCAGCACTCACAGACTGCATGGACTGCTGGAAAAGAGTCGATTTCCCTGGAGTCCTGTCCATTGCTCTGGGGGATTTCAGTGTGACTGTGCACTCCTGGGAGGTAGCATGCATCCCGGGCACGGAGAGAAGTGTGTGCCATGCCTTGGGGCCACTCTGTGCCCTCTCTGGGGTACCATGTACCCCTTCAGGGGACCATGCATCTGCCTGGGACCATGTGTGCTGAACCAGGGTGGGAGGACAGTGTGCCCTGCCCAGAGGCAACTGTGCATCTTGCCTTGGCGGGGATATGGAAACAGTGACCAAAGCCTGGGGAGGACCACCACGCACACTGCCCGGGGGCACCATCTTTCCTGTTTGGGATGAGGGGCACTGTGCATCCCTCCCGGCGTGGGAACTCTGTCCTGCCATGGGTGAGCACCGCACGCCTAGCCTGGGGGAGCGGCGGAGCAGGTCGGCAGCAGCAGCAGGAGCAGGAGGAGGAGGAGGAGGAGGAGGAGCAGGAAGGGATGGAGGCAGGGCGGGCGGCGGGAGCGGCCGCTGCCTGAGCGCTTCCTGCCCGAGCCGGGCGGATCCCACAAAGGGCTCGGCGGTGTGGCCTCCCCGCCGGCAGCCCCCGCCATGGCCAGCGCCAGCTCCATCGATGCCGTCAAGAAGAAGATCCAAAGCCTGCAGCAGGTGGCCGACGAGGCGGAGGAGCGCGCCGAGCACCTGCAGCGGGAGGCCGATGCCGAGCGGCAGGCCCGGGAGCGGGTAAGGGCCGCTGGAATGGGAAGAGGGAGGGCGGGGGGCACCGCGGCAGCTCCCCGGGATCCCCCGCCGGCTCAGGCCCCGCTGCCGGCATCTCTTCCGGCGGGCCGGTCCCGGCCCCCCGAGCCCCGGTACCGGGCTGGGTGCCGCCGGGGCGCAGCAGCGCCGGGAGGTTCCCGGGGAGCCGCGGGAGCTGCCACCCAGCTGCGAGAGCCTCGGAGCAGGGAGCTCAGGGCAGTCCCTGCCTCCGGGCGGTCTCCGCCAGCCGCCTACCTCCTCCGTCGGTCTGGCGAAAGAAGATGCTGCGTGCAGCGGCGCTCCCCAGGGCTGGCCGGCGGTGGGAGCGGGCAGCGGCCAGCCCGGCCTTGGGATCGGGTGCCTCCTGGGAACGCATCTCTTCTCTCAGAGGCCGGCGTACAGCTCAGAATCCCACGCCCAAGCTTTTGTCTGGCTTCCAGCGGACTCTGCCGTTCGGGACACAGAGCTTTAGCTCCATCCTGTCCCTTCATGGGGACAAGCCGCCCCTTCACACTGCCTCAGGCCAGAATTTCCATTTTGGCGGCAGGATGGTGTGCCCAAGCTGCAGCTTTTTCCTGGTTTGTCTTTGTAGTTGTTGGAGCTTTCTGTTTTCTTCCTTCCTTTCTGTTTCCTATGCCCACTCATTCAACATTCTCACCATATCAGGAGCAGCAGAGCTGGGTGCGGTACCTGGGTTGTTGTCACTCAGGCTGTGTGCGGAGGTAATGACCCCTTCCTGCAGTCTCAGATCGGGTTCCCTGGTCACTGGGAGCTGCCGTGGGAGCTCGTGTTCCCAAGTGTCCATCCGGGCAGCTCTGACCCACTTTGGGGGTGATTCCCTGGGAAAAAAACCTACCGACGCAGTGAGGCTGATGCTGCAGGCAGAGCATTGCCCTGTGGGCGCCAGCTCCAGTTCCCCATTGGGCGGTCTGGCAGGGAACGAAGTCTCTGAGTGTCTGTAGAAAGGGTGATCATGGGGCGGAGGCAGCTGTGGGGCTGGCAGCTGTGGGGCTGGCAGCCATCTCAAAGAGATGCCGGCTGCCTGTCCTCACTCTGCCAACGCCCCACAGGGGATTGCGGGTGCTCAGTGGGGCCATGCAGGGTGACAGCCCCTTGCTGCTCCCATAGTCCCTGTGCTTGGCTTGTATTCCCTGGGGCATTCCCAGTGCTGGAGCATGAGGCTGGATGTGTCCGGGCACTGCAGCCAGCCAGTCCTGCTGCAGCCTGTGAATAAGCAGGAGCCTCTGTCTTCTGGGTTGGTGCACAGAGCTGATGCCCACGGTGAGGTTTTATTGCCACCCATCCCTTATATTCAGGGGTTTGTCTTCCTCTCACCCTCCTAGTGGGAAGCGGGGTTGAGAGCTGCTGAGGCAGCATTTCCTGACTGTGGCAATGGAGCAGGAGGCCTTTACCAAATGGAAAGAGTACAAGACCAGGCGTCAACAGGCTGGCAGAGGGCCAGGGCCACTGCTCCTGGCCAGCCCCAGCTCCCAGCCCTGTGCGTGGGGAGCCTGGGAAAGGGAGGGCTCTGGTCCTGCCAGCCTCATTTGGCCAGGCGCCAGCCTGCTGAGGGCGACTCGCTCCACTGCCCCCTGGCACTGTGCTGTACATCAGCTGGGGGGGCTCTGTGCTTGGCTTCAGGCTGTCCTGTTGCACAGGGCCCTGGGGGCTCCTGCAGGAGAAGATCCCGGCCCACTCCACCGCCTCTGTAAACAGGAAATCCACAAGCAGCTCTGATCTCCTTTTCGGGAGCGAAGCAGCACAGGGCATTCCTCCCCCTTTACTCACTGCTCTGCAAACCCCAAATACCATCCCTGTCACGGCAGGGCTGCTATGACCACCCTGGCCCAGTGAACGTGCCCAGTCCCCCTCCAGGGCGGGAGCTGGAAGTTTGAGGACATAGTGAGGCTGCACATGACAAGCTGGCGCTGCAAGGCTGGGAGAAGCCAGCATTGAACAGCTACTAGGGATGGAGATAATCCTATAGAGAGGTGAGGAATGCATGGTCAGGCATGCCATTCCAGTGACCATAGGCTTTTTGCACAGTGCCAAGGGGCGTTCTGGATGGTAAACAGGAGTAATCATTGAAAATGCTTTTTTTCAATATATGTATTTGACATGGGATGACTGAGGGGTTTCTGTTCCCCCAGGCTGAGGCTGAAGTGGCTTCCCTCAACCGCCGTATCCAGCTGGTAGAGGAGGAGCTGGACCGTGCCCAGGAGCGTTTGGCCACTGCCCTGCAGAAGCTGGAGGAAGCTGAGAAGGCAGCTGATGAGAGCGAGAGGTGGGATGGAAAGGGACAGTGGGAGTGGTATCAGGTCACCATGGTTTGCAGACAGCCCCCTTAGTTTTGCAGTGGAGTCCCTCTGAGGTGACCTTATTGGGGTTTCTGTTCCCTTTCCTGCAGACTTCAAAGGGAGAGAGCAAAGCCACAATGCAATGAAGCCCCTCAGATATACACACTCTTATCCAGACCACACAAAAAATCCTGAAAATTTTTATCTGGTATTTATAAAAGCACCAGACTGTATCCAAAGCCAGAGGAAGATATCAGCATCTTATTCCCTGGAGCAGCTTTAGATGCTCAGGGACAAAATAACAGCCCAAGAGGGAACGCCTGTGCTGGTAACTAAGGTCAGATTTGAGCACCAGACAGCCTCATTCAAAAAGATTTCTACAGGGTGTATGTTGCCCTCTCCTCAGGGCAAGTAGATTTCCCAGACTGGAGCTGTGCAGGCAAGGGCACCCAGGTTGTATGGGAGCACCCAGACATGTCACAGTGTTCCTGGCAGTTATGTGAGCTCTTCCCTCCAGTGGCAAAAATAAGTTTGAGCAACAGCATCTGAGTGAGAGGAGAAGAGTCTGCAGGAGCTCCTCCTGGGGGGTTTGGTAATTCCTTGTTTGTGAGAATCACCCCGAATGAGAAAGGCTTTGCCACAGGATGTTTTTCAGTACTTCCTAATGGGTTCCAGCCTGTCAGGCTGTTTTTGTGAAGATTGTGGCTGGCTTATCCTGGGCTGGACACCTTCTGCCCCCCCAAAATACAGATTCAGGACCTGCCTGCTTGAGGGGCAGGTATGATACCCATATTGCACTCTGGAACATAGCCCTGGGGCCAGCTCCACTGTAATTCTGCAGAGGAGCATTATTGAGGTACTGGTGGTGTGATCCTACTGTGTGCCATCCTCCCTGAGCAATGTCCTGTGTCTCTGAAATAGAGGGTGGTGTGGTTAGGGTACAGGATGGGCAGGCAGGATATGCAGATGACACTTTGACCCACAAGCAGTAAAATCTCCTGGCATGGTCTTTCCTCAGAGGCATGAAGGTCATCGAAAACAGGGCCATGAAAGATGAAGAGAAGATGGAACTCCAGGAAATGCAGCTGAAGGAGGCGAAGCACATTGCAGAGGAGGCTGACCGCAAATATGAGGAGGTGTGTTCCCCATTACCCAGTCTGACACCCTGGCAGCACCCAGAGCCATCTCCTTATAGCCCTGTGCCCTGGGCTGGGGCAAGCACAGAGCTAACAGGGGTCACTTGCTGCCATCAACAGGTTGCCCGCAAGCTGGTCGTTCTTGAGGGAGAGCTGGAGCGCTCAGAGGAGAGGGCAGAGGTGGCAGAGAGGTGAGCAGGGGTGCCTGGTGGGCCTGGGAGCAGGTGTCCCATGCAGGGGTCCTATACAGCCTTTCTCCCAAATCCGTGGCAGACATGGGGATGGGGATGTCTGTTCCTGGAAGCAGCGGGGTCTGTCATTGGGGTGGTCTTTGGGAGTGCAGGCTGGGGGTAGGGGTGTGCCAACCCACTAGCATCATATCCTTGACCCTGTTCTCTGCTGTCCCCCTCCCGGGGTGCCCCTCTTCCACCCCAGCCGAGTGAGACAGTTGGAAGAAGAGCTGCGGACCATGGACCAGTCTCTCAAATCCCTCATTGCCTCAGAGGAAGAGGTACTGGGCAGGGGCGTGGGGCGATGTGCAGCAGCCCCCTCTCTCTGTCGCTGTCTCTCGAACCATGCGAGCCGCCTCTCTCCTTTCTGCACCACTGCCTCCAGCACCAGCCTCCCCTCACTCCCTCTCCAGCAGGTGCAGGCCGGGCACGCTCCTCCATCCCTCCATCCCTGCTTCCCTGGCGGGGCCAATGAGAGCTTGGCTGGTGGTGATGCACGAGGTATCCATGCAAGGAAGCACAAGGAGCGGATGAACAGATGCGTCCTGGCAGCTCCTGCTCGCAGTGGCTCTGCTCATGGTCCACCTGCACTGAGTTTTCTCCTTTCTCAACTTGTTTTCTCTCTTTCTTTCCTGCTTCCCTGTGCCTGTTCTTTCTGCTCCTGCTTCTCTCCTGCCCTCTGGCCCCACTCCCCTACTCCTGCCGGCCTTGCTTGGGATGTAGTAAATGTGGTGACCTAGAGGAGGAGCTGAAAATTGTCACCAACAACTTGAAGTCCCTGGAGGCCCAGGCTGACAAGGTAGGACCCATTCAGGCTGCTAGGGTTGGGAAGAATGCATGGGGTCTGGGAATGCTGCAGTCTCCTGCTGGGGTGAGAGTCAGCTGGAGGCATGCGTTGGAACTCACAGGTGCTTGTCTCTGTCTCTGCAGTATTCCACCAAGGAGGATAAGTATGAGGAGGAAATCAAGCTTCTGGGGGAAAAGCTGAAGGAGGTAAGAGTTGTAGGGCTGCCATTGAATCAGCGCTTGCCATCCTGAATGGGTTTTGACCCCATTATGTTTATGTTCTCTCATGGTTTCCTAAATTGCAGCCTAGCATCATAGCAGGTACCTGGGTCTGGGATGACTTTATGACTTTCATTAGTCTGTTCTGATTTAGGGTGTGAGGCTTTCATGGAGCCTTAGTCACATCTTGTCCCTTGCCTTTCCCATGGGAGGGTTTCTGGGGAAGAGTACCAGAGATGCAAATGGGGCAGATTTGGAGTGCAGTGCAGCCTGCACCACCCATTGTGTGCTGCAGCTCACCCTTTCCGCGCTGTGCTTCCCACAGGCTGAGACCCGGGCGGAGTTTGCCGAGAGGTCTGTGGCGAAGCTGGAGAAAACCATTGATGACCTAGAAGGTAAAATGTCCCCACCAACCTGGTGTCCTTCTTTCCTGGGGTGGCACTGGACACACCATGTCCCTGGTGGGGCTGGACAGTGCTTGGCCCAAGGGAGGGGTGGTCAGGAGTTCTGGGAGCAGAGAGGCTGGATGCTGCGGCATTTGATGTGGGAGCACAGAGCTCCTGGAGTCTGGGCCCTGCCCGCGGGTAGGCAATAGAGTCACATCCATGCTGCCTGTGCCCACGCATCCCTGCTGCCCTCAGCCCGCTGCTCACAGCCACTCTCTCTCTCCACCTTGTGTCCTCCACTCTATTCCACCATCTGCTCCCTGCCTGCCCTCACCTGCAGATGAAGTGTATGCACAGAAGATGAAGTACAAAGCCATCAGTGAGGAGCTGGACAATGCACTTAATGACATCACCTCCCTCTGAACCCCACGCTGGGCACCAGCACTGCACCTGCTCTGTGCCTGTCTCTCCCCAGCTCAGCTGTTTGTCTGCCTGGCCATCCCACCTCTCTCCCTACCCTCTCTGTCCTTCTCTGTCCTACCTAGCCTGTGCCTGTCCATCAGCTCCTTTGGGACAGGAGCTGACTTGGGGTGTTCCCGCTGTACCCCTCTTTGGGGAGACAAGATGTAGGTGCTTAGAGCTGTTTGTTCAGGGCAGGAGAGCAGCCCCACATACTGACTGGACAGTGTAGTTGTAGGCCTATGCCACAGCATTGCCCTGGGGATCAGGACTGTGCCCAGAAGCCCTTTGTTCCAGCAGCTCCCTTCTTGGCTCCCCAGCAGCAGAAGCACTGGGGACCCTGCAGCTCCAGGGCTGGGGGCTATTTCCCCCGCCATATACTTCCAGCAAAGTCCCCTGGTGCTGCTTGCTGGCCCCAGCATGGGGATGACCTGCACTGGGGAAGCGGCACCTCCACTGCCAAAGCTCAGGCCTGGGGGATAGAGGGTTGGATCCAACTGTGCAGACACCTTGTTCCCCAGCAGGCAGGCGACCCTCACTCCTCCCTCACCCTTTTGTCCTTTGCACATTGCTCTTCAGTTTGCATCTCATGACTTTCCTTTTGTGTTCTGTCCCTCTGGGTTAATGAATTGATATCAATAAAATATTAACATTGGTTTCTCCTTTGTTTTCTTCATGCCACTCTATCCCTCATTTTCTGCCTGTCTCATGTGGGTACTGTCAGCAGTGTGCTAGGAGGTGGTTGCAGGCTGCTCACAGCCACAGGCCCCCTAGGTTGACTACACCTGAGTCCCAAGAGGCTCCCGCGCTGCCAGGCTGAGCGGGACGGGGCTATTGTGCTGACCACAGCCACCCCCTGACTCTCATACGCAGCTTTCCCCATCTCATGCCATCTTCTCCATGAGTCTTTTGATGTGAAATGTCAGGATTAGACCTGGTCCTGTCCATTCCCTCTCTCTACTCTCAAACATTGCCTATAAGCAGCAATAACATCCCTGTCAGAGCTCCTGCGTCACCTTCCCTTGGTGAAGAGGCTGGTGCTTCAGTAGTGATCTCTTGTGATCCCTAAATTGGTACTGATCCACCTCCTCCTTCTTCACCCTACCCTGTCCCAGAACCCAGTTTCCAAATTAATGGACCTACAGCCTTGTCCCTGCACCAAGACTGGCTGCCTCCTGCCAGTCCAGCTGCATCCTACCACTGGCTGTGTGGCTTGTGGTGTTTTCAGTGAAGGCTTTCAGAAATGCTGTCTCTTTTCACTAACTCACTTTTTTTTCTCTCTTTCCTGTGCTGCATTGATGTCTCCATTTCCTCTAGAGCGCTCTCAGCAGGAGGCCGAAAAAAACCGTGTTCTCACTAATGAGCTGCGGGTCATCCTTACTGAACTTAACAACTGAGCTGCCCAGAGCTCCTGGCCCCAGCCCAGCCTCCCTGCCTCATTTTGGCCAGGCTGGCTCGAGGATGGGAGCCCCTCCCCGCTGGGGTGAGGCAGGGTGTGCAGCTTTGCCTTGTCCTCATAGGGGTAATTACCCTGATTGGGCAGGACAGGGTACCCCTCTGGAGTTGATCAGTTTTTGTGGGAGAGATATGAAGGGTTTTGGGATGTCCTGGGATGCCCATGTAGTGATGGCTGTCCTCTGGCATCATCCTGGCTCTGCTGGGGAGGAATGCAGTGGTTTGTATTGCTGCCTTCCTCCCCTTGTTCTGGGAGTCACTGGGCAGCCTCTTCCTCCTCACTCTGGTCACCCCAAGTCGTGCAGGATGGATCCCCTTAGAAAGAGGTCCTTGGGGGGTGCTGGGAAGGCTGGGAAAAGAGCTGAGGATCCAGCAGCACCTGCTGCCCCAAACTTGGGACAGGGAAGAGGCTAGCAGGGCACACTGGGAGATGGGGCTGAGTGGACAGCAGTCTTGTTCCATCCCCATCTCTGGGGGAAGCAGGATGCCATTTGGAAACTAGCACCAGAGGGAGGCTGCCTGGCAGAGCTTATCCTTGTAACCTTGTTAGCTCTGCTCCTTATCTCTCTGTTGTCCTCTGCCCACTCTCCTGGGCTGTTAATGGGCTGCTTTCTCACTTCTTTTCTTCACGGAGCACTGCTGGGTCATGCAGCAGGCATTGGTTCTCCACTTCTGCTGGCCAAGGGTTTGTGCACGTGCCTACAGCTGGCCAGTGGTGATGCCCCAGTGTCTGGCCAAATAATGGTAGTCGCCAGCGGCACCTGTGCTGCAGAGTGCTCAGCCATGGGCAACAGGGCAACCTGGGAAGATGGAAATGCTGAAGAGTGGTAACTGCCTGTCCCAGTGACTAGCCTGACTGGCCTGGCTACCCTGGCAGATCCCAGAGTGGCTGGACTCATCCCTGCCAGAAATGGGGCTACCTGTGTGGACTATGCTCCACAGGGGATGCCCCATTTGACTGGAGGCCATTGCTGTACTGAAATGTCTGTGTGTGTGTGTGTGTGTGTGTGTGTGTGTTTGGTGTGGTGTGTGTGGGTCCTGCTGCACCTGGGAACATTTGGGTTGTGTCTGTGTGCGTGGCTGGGTGTCCCTTGCATTCACAGAGAGCCTGGCCAGTGCCAAAGAGGAGAACGTGGGGATACACCAGGTCCTGGACCAGACCTTACTGGAGCTGAACAACCTCTGAGCTGCCCTTGCAAGCCCGTATCCCATTTCCCTACCCAACACATACACCCCACTGGCATGTTCAGGATGCGGTCATCAGCTGAACTGCATCTTGGACAAATCCACACCTCCATTGAGAAGGGAAGCTCAGCAGCCTTGCACTGTTGCTCAAGGGGATCTTGTTTGTGCACAGCCTAACCGGCTCTGTCCTGTCTTTATGTCCAAATATTAAAGCAGTTTGACAAGATGGATGTCTGTGTTTGGTCTTTTGGGTGGGTACAGGCAGTGGGAGAGGAGCTGTGGGTCTCCCTCCCTGGTTCATGCACAGAGGGTCAGCAGGACCCCCGTGGCTGTGGTGGGCTCGGAATAACAATCACATGGTTTGGACTGTGTTCCCTCATCTCCATCACTTCCTTGGAAAACAGAGGAAACCTTCAGGTCTCAAGCTCAAACTCACCGACCTCTTCAAGTACACAGTGATAAACCATGTCACTGGTGTGTCCCCTTCCACAGTTGGCTACTGCCTTGGCAGCTGGGGAGGCCACAAGTTTTTGACGTCTCAAGGGTTCATGTTTATGACAATGAGAAAACACACAAGCACATGATCACGCATGCACACATTATTGGTTGTCAGGGTCTTCTCCAGGTATGAGATTAGCTGCTCACACTTTGTACTAGTTGCAATTTCTTTTGCCAGTGGCTGAACGCCTGCCTGTTCTACAGGGACAGCTGTAGAAGCTAGGAAATATTAATGCAGCAGACAACATGTTCAGGAAGTTTCTTCCTGGCTTGCTGTATTTTCTCCAACACAAATTGAAGAGCTGCCGGATGTGTCTCATTGCTGTTACCAAAATGGGCTGGATTTCCTGGGGATGCACAGAGCCATTATCTTGTCCTGCCCTTCACTTCAAGCCCCTCTATGATGTGGACCAAACCCTGTTATCCCATGCTACCCAGCGGATATCCCTCTACAAGTACATCCACATACTGCCAGGAAACACAATTCATGCTGACTCCTTGTCAAGCCAGACCCAGCCAGAGACTGACAGGGATAGCTTTTGTTATCTGCTTTCCTTTATTTGCTGTGCCTCTTGGGTCAGGAAAGGAGGGTGTTGAGATTGCATCTCTTTCCTGCCCAGGTGCTGCTGGCCTCCTGCCTTCTCCATGGCCCAGCAATTCTGTTTTGTGGTTCTAAGGCCACAAAAAAAAGGTTTCTACAGCAGGGAAAAAAGCTCCCTGTGCATGGGGTGCTCATCTTTAGTGCATCTTCCCAAGGTCATAAAGTCTGCTGTGAGCTGGAGCCTCTCACCCTAGGCCTGGAGGAGCTAGAGGGGAGGACAGTACACGGTGTCTTGGACTGCTGAGCTGTCCCTGCGTCAGGGCTGGAGCTCCTCCTTGGGCCCGCCTTCCTCTTCTGCAGTGCATCAGCTGAGGCATTCCTGTTGTTTAGTCAAAGCACCTTCCAGGCAGGGAATTGTCTGTCTTCAAAAAGAACCAGCATGTAAAAGGACCTCTACCCTGGAAGCCGGCACCCTGCACTGCGAACGAGCCTGCCCTGTGCCCCGGTCAGGGTGTGTCCCAGTGCCCAGCCTCTGAGCGCTCTTCGCCTTCCGGCTGGGACAAAGAGCCCTTTCACACCCACTGTTTTTTCCCCATTAGTTGCTGCTGCCTCCTGGTTTGGACCAGTCCACTTGACTTAACTGTTTGTACCTCGCTGCAAGGAACTTTTTATTCCTTTGAACTGCCTTTGATTTGGCAGTGATATCCTGACTGCTGTTCCTGGATGATGCTCAGCCTGAGAAAGACATGGGCTATGTCACAGTTCAGCAAAGCTTTGCATTTCCTCTATTCTTCCACCCATCTTTTTCCCCTCTGGCCTCACAGAGAAATAGGTAAGCCACGGAAAGCTCTGGCAACATGGGACACTGTGAAACTGCTGGCATGGAAGCACGTCTCCTCACAGGTGTCACAGCCTGACACTGGGGACTGAAGTGCCTGTGCCCTGCTCCCTTCCTCTCTCTCCACCTCTTCCATGGAATTTCAGCCTTTGGATTTCTTTATTTTGGCCTGGCAGACTGAAGATGTCCCTAGAGAGCTTTCAGCCCTGCTGTTGGTTGCCACCCTATTGATATACCAGCACATTAACTTTCAGCAGCCTCTCACCTCTACTCTCTGCTCCAGTTTTCTCATCTCTCCAGTGCCTCATTTAATCTCTGGATTCTTGCCGTTCAATGCCCTTGAACTACATGGTGAAGTGGCAGGACCAACACAAAGAGCATCTGAGATACTCTGATGAGACTTGTCAAGCTGTGCAGAGCCAGGCACAGACTACTGCCACTCCTTAGTCCTCCCTTCATCTAGAGCTTAAGACATTGGGGTGAAGGCCAGAAAAACTGTGTTGCCAAATTGTGAGGGTTTTGCAAAGCTCTGTGGGATTTCAAAACAGGTCAGGCCCCCTAAATCCAAGTGCCACACAAATCTCCCAGTCCCCAAATCCATATTACTGACTTGTCAAAGTCAGCAGAGGACAAGGCAGATGGAGGGAAGCATGGATGGCCATGACCACGTGGTGCCATCTCAGTTTTGTATGAGCATGCCCCATATGCAGTGCTTGGGGCTGTGAGAGTGGAGTGTGCAGTACAGGGGGACATGTGGCCTCTGCTCCACTGGCTCAGGGGATCTGGGAGCAGTCCTGGAGCATCTCTGCTGCAGCATAGGCCTACAACAGGGTTACAGGTAGAAAGGGACTCTTGGAGACAATTCATTGCATTGGTTTAGCAGTTGTTGGTGACAAGGTTTATTGCCTTTCAGAGCAAAAGAAAATAAATTAAAAAACACTTGTTATCAGGGTTCTGTTACGCCTTTGTTGCAGGATGTCTTCCATATGTTGATGTTTATAGTCTTTGTAGATTGGGCAGGAACATAATTTTAGTAAACTTCATAGTATTACCTCAGAAGATGATAAAATTACTGGTCTTGATTCTATCACGCTGGTCCATGCTTCAAGTGCTGGGCAGGTCCTGCTTTAGAATCACATAATAGCTAGGGTCAGAAGGGATCGCTAAAGATCACTGCCACAATGAGGAGGGGCACGCTCAACTAAATCATGTTACTCACAGCCCCATCCAGCCTTAGCTTGAATGTTTCCATTGGTCATGGATGGGGTGATCACAATACCATTGTGGGCACCTTTGAACTTCTTCTAGCCATCGTCCTCCTTCTTGCTGCTGGGGCTCTCCTGCTCCCTGCAGCTGGCAGAGGCATGCTTCCTTTGTCCAGCCAGCAGCTCACAGTGACCAGGACAAGGGCTGATACAGCACCTTAAAACAGCCACTGTTGCTGCACTGCAGAAAGGAGTGGGGCTTCCATGGTGCCCCTCTTCCCCTCTATCACCTGCAGCAGCCAAATCATCTCATGATGCAGATATTCCTCACACTCTTTCATCCGTCTGGCTGTGTCCACATTGGCCCGGTCATAGTGCTGCAGTCTGGGCTGGATGGTCAGCAGACCCAGGAAGAACACAACTCTTGGAGCCAAGGCCTGGTGGATGGAAAGAGAACTTATCAGGTCTGGGTGGGAGGCAGCAGGGGGCTGGGGACACCCAGGATGTCCCCAAAGCCTCTCTGAGCACCTGCCACCATTAAGAACCCTAAGCTTCTCTTCCAGCCCCAAGCACAGTTCTGTGGCCTGTCCTGTCCTGCCCTGAGGCACTTGTGTTTCTTCTCCTTAGAAACGCCCTGGGCACTGCCCCCATCCCTATCTAGTCCAGCATTCCTCTGCATGCACACTCACTGGTCACCAGAATCCAGGTGTGGTGGGCTGGGGCAGCCTGCTGATGTCCCTGGTGACACCTCCTGCTGTGACCCATCTTCCCTGACGCTGCAGCCACCAGAGCCGCATCTCCCAGCTGGCAAGCCCCAGCCTTCGTCTCCATCCTTCAGTGGGTCCTGGCCGTCCTCACCCAGGAGCAAGCTCCCAGAGGCTCTCTTGGCCAAGCAGGCAGAACCCCTGGGGCTGTAACTGTAACACAGGGGTTGTAAGTGGATGTCCCTGGCTTACAGAGTGAGACGTGACTTCCTCTGGGCCAGGTGGGCTGATTCTGGGCTGTTTTGCAGTTATGAAATCTTTAAGCAGGGACAAAACTATTCCCCTCTCTCCTCCTCTGGGATCCCTTGTGCTGGGGCACGACTTGGCATCGTAAACCCTGGCAATCAAGCCAAGTACCAGTCATGTCCCTGGAACAAGTGGAAAAGATCCTGTGATTCCTGCTTCCAGCTACCAACTTGCTGGCTGCGAGGGCAAGCCCATGAACTGGTGGGGATATGCCAGGACCTACATCTCACTGCTCCCCTGGGATTTCCCTGTTTCAGGAAAGCCCTCTGTACTCCACGTTGGAGTGCTCCGCCTCTTACAAAGAGGGCCTGTTTTTCCATGATGTAACAACAGCCTTTCCAGACCCCTCAAAAGCCTCCTCTGACCTTGCTGCATGTGTGCCAAGACTGGCATGGGTGCAGTGTTTCTGCCGGTTCAGCAGGACTTTACAGGCAGTGCCCCTGTCCAAAGTCTCCTGCAGGCAGAAAGGCTGCGTCTTGGGGAGTGGATGTCTGTAAGCAGGAAGCGCACTGAAGAGCCTTTCGGTGTCAACCCCGTAGAAATGGGGTTGGACTGGCGGTCCCAAGCGGAGGGAGCACACAGCCACTGCGGGTGGGGCAGCCTGCACGCCTCGCCCAGCCCCTGCTGCTGGGGGCCCGCGCAGGCCCCGCTCTCGGGGTGGCCGTGGGGACGAGGACAAGCTCCCCTGGGCCGCGTCCCCACAGGGTCACGGGACGTGCCGAGCTGGGAGGGACCCACGGGATCATCGAGACCAGCTCCTGCTCCTGCACAGGCTCCCCGGGGTCACACCGTGCGCCGGAGAGCGTTCCCCAGACGCTTCCTGAGCTCCGCCAGCCTGGTGCCGCGACCCCTTCCCGGGGAGCCGCGCCGGTGCCGGGGCGCTCCGCCCGGGCCTTCCCGCACCCCGCCCCGCCCGGAGTGACGGGCCGGGCCCGCCCCGGGACGCCGCTTCCGCCGCCGGCGGCGCGCGCACGCCTGGCGTCATCGGCCCCGGAAGGGCGGCGGAGGGGGAAGGGGCCGCGGGGCCCGTCCGGTCCGAGCTCCGGGTCCGACCCCGGTCCCGTGTCCCCGCTCCCGCCGAAATGACGCTCGCCGTCTTCTTCGGGTGCACCTTTATCGCCTTCGGGCCCGCCTTCGGCCTCTTCATCTTCACCATCGCCCGCGACCCGCTCCGCATCATCATCCTCATCGCCGGGTCAGTCAGCGATGGGGGCTCTGGTGCGGCCGTGCTGTGGGACCAGGATGGCTCCGGGAGCGGTGTGGGCGTGGCGGGGCGCCGTGACCGGCCACGGTGCTGCTGCCAGAACCATCGTGGTGGGGGCACTGATTCTGCTGTTGGTGCTGGTTCGGATGTAATGGGCTGCTGGTCGCAGCGCCTCGATACGATCACTGTAATCGAGACAGGGGTGCTGGTACCGATGATGGTGCTGGTACCAGTATGGGCGTGACAGGAGTGCTGGTACCAGTATGGGTGTGACAGGGTGGTGGTGGCATCAGGGGTGTGATAGGCATGTGACTGGTACTGGCTAAGGCACCGTCGTGGCTGCAGCAGGCACACCAGTGCCCGTGCTGGTGCTGTTGTGGGCTCACTGGAGTCACCAGTGCCCGTGCTGGTGCTGTTGTGGGCTCACTGGAGTCACCAGTGCCCGTGCTGGTGCTGTTGTGGGCTCACTGGAGTCACCAGTGCCCGTGCTGGTGCTGTTGCTTGCATGAGAGGAGCACCAGTATTGCTTCTGTTACTGTCACAGCACATCCTAGACACAAGAACTCCTACAGTGCCAGTGGAGGGTTGGCAATGGTACTGGTGTGTCTGTGCAGCTGGGAAACTGGTACCAGTACCACTGTGGCTCCAGAAGGATGTGGTAGTGGAAGTGGTACTGCTATGGATATGACCCTGGCACAGGTGCTGGTACTGATGTGGGCACAACAGGGGCACTGGTGCCAGTTCTGGTAACCAGTGGGGCAGATGTGCATGCACAGCACAGTAATGAGACCCATAGAGGTACCACCTGCCCAGCATTGGTACCAGAATGGCACTGGTGCTGGTTGGAGAGTGTGCAAGGCTGGGGCACAGCTGCCAGTGCCAGTCCCAGCGCGGCAGGGGCTCTGGCACAGCACCGGTGCCAGCAAGCTCTGTCTCTTACAGGGCTTTCTTCTGGCTGGTGTCACTGCTGCTCTCATCCCTCATCTGGTTTATCGCAGTGAAAGCCAGCGACCCCCAGGATGAGCGGCTGCAGAAGGGGCTCCTGATTTTTGGGGTGATGTTCTCTGTGCTGCTGCAGGAGGCCTTCCGCTTCCTTTACTACAAGCTCCTCAGGTAATGGCATCTCCCCCACTGTGCCAGTGCTGCTGGATGGTCTTCCCAGCTGTGGTGGTGCCAGATTTCACCTGTGAGCTGCTGGACTGGGGGCAGTGTCAATTGTGGCAGGAAGCTGCCTCAGTGCTTACCCTGAGCACATGGGTGGCACCTGTTTTGGTGTGTTGACCTTAGTGGGTCTCAGGTGGTGGGGCAGAGCAGCCTGAAGATCTGAAGGATCTGGTGCCCTGACCAGGCCAGGTCACAGTCTCAGAGCAGCCTGGGCAACTTCCAGCCTTCCTGATTCCATTGTCTTGGGGCGCAGGGGTTTTTGCTGCCAGGGGAGCATGTGCTGCACCCTGTCCTGTGGGTGGACAGACACTGTGCTGGGACAGGGCAGGCAGGCACAGGGAGGTGTCCTTCATACTTCCCGGTCTTCCTGGGAGAATTCTGGAGGGGAGCCGTGTCGACACGCTCCCTGCGGCAGGGCACTGCTGGAGGCAGGCAGGCAGAGGGTAGCAGACCTCCATGGAGCAGCCTCTGACATAAAACCACTGTGTTTCCTGTGCCTTGTGGATCTCCGGTCCCAAGCACTGCTGTCCTCCCTAGGCTGAGGACCTGCCTGGCATCCTCCTTACCTGTCACACCTCTAGTTGGCACAAATTATGAAGCCTCTCCTCTCACAGTTTCTCTCCCCATTGAATTGTCCTAACTCTTTGAGCTCTTCCTGCACCTCCTCCATTGTTAGTCAACATGTTCTTTTAAGTGTGGAGATCAGGTACAGCCTCCCACGCCTGCAGTGGGGCTGCTTTCCATGCGGGGGTGCTGCTTGTCTTACACTCAACGTCCTGCTCACACCAGCCCTGCTCTGCTGCGCTGGCTGGCACCCACATTCCTCTCTGGAAAATCTTTCTATGTGGCCTCACATGATTTTCACATGCCTGGTTTGTCTGGTGGTACAGTCACAATCTCCGTGGTGGGTGTTGTTCGAGGTGTTGCAGGGAAGGTGGCATGGTGCAGAGTGCACATGCACAATGCCTTGGGAGGTGGTTTGGCTGTGCTGGGATCCATTGTGCTCTCACTCCACAGGAAGGCCATTGAGGGGCTGGTGGCCCTCAGTGAGGACGGCTGCTCCCCCATTTCCATTCAGCAAATGGCATATGGTGAGTGCTGTGCAGAGTAGAGCACCTTGACCATGGGGCAGGGGGGAGGTTGGGCAGGGCTGAGCATGGTGCTGGGAGCAAAAGGAGATTTCTCATGCCAAAGCTCACTCACAGGTGTGTGGGGTGACCCGTGGAAGGTTCAGAGCTTAACAGTGTTCCTGTCCCGGCAGTGGCTGGCGTGGGCTTTGGTCTCATGAGTGGCGCCTTCTCCATGATCAATCTCCTGGCAGATGCGTTAGGGCCTGGCACTGTGGGCATCCATGGGGATTCACAGCTGTATTTCCTGACCTCAGGTGAGTAACTGGCACCCTTCGCTCACATCTCTGCCCCACCTCAGAGGCAGCAGATGAGGTGCTGTAGTTTTCCCCTCTTACATTGCCTTGTCCATGCTGCACCCTCACCTGTCTGGGACCCTTATAATCCCCTGTCACATATCTCTGTGGCAAACCCTTCTTGATGTTCCCTGTGACCCTCCCTGCTCTTCTTTCCATGTCTCCCACATGTAGAGTCTGACCCAGCACCTCCCAGTCCAGCCAAGCTGTTTCTCTACACCCCGCCTCCCCCTTTACTGATCCTCTCCATCTCTTCCCCAAGTCTGCAGGCTAGGTCAAGTGGGTGATTCCCTGGTGACACCTCTGCTTCTCCCTGCAGCTTTTATGACCATGGTGCTGATTTTCCTTCACACCTTCTGGGGAATCCTCTTCTTTCATGGCTGTGAGCACCGGCGCTGGTGGGAGATCACAGCAGTCGTTATCATGCATCTCACTGTTTCGGGGTTGGTGAGTAACTGGGAACAGGGCTCTGTGCTGGGACCTGTATTCAGGGTACTGGTCCCTGTGCTGGAAGGAAATAGCCTTTGGCGCTAGCAGAGGAGCTGGCCCTTCACAAACCAAATCCTGGAGTTGCTGCTGCCTGTCCCACTCCATTCTCTGAGGTGATGACCCTGCCACACATCCTGTCCCTGTCGTCTCCTGCCTGCTCACCCTTCTCTTCTTGTGCCTCTCTCTGCAGTCATTTTGCAACCCCCTGTACGTGGGCAGCCTGGTGCCCTCCTACCTGCTGATGGCTGCTGCTGCTACCTGGGCTTACCTACTCTCGGGTGGATCTGCGCAGAACCTGCGGCGCTTCCTGCTTTGTAAGTGCTGCTCCAGAAAGGGGTGGGCGACGCTTTGGGTCTCATGGGGTACCAGGACTGGTGCTGGGATGCTGAGAGGTTGTTCTGATAGCTCGAGCAAGGGTATCATCCCCTTGTCTCCTAGAGCAGAGGAGCAGGTGGTTTTTGAGACCACGCTCAGGTTGTTGCCTCTCTGGGAGAAGTGGGGTAGAGTTTGGTGAAAATTCACTGCTTCTCTTCTTGGTTCCTGCAGGTTTACGGAGCGGAGCAAGCCCCCAGCCAGGATCCTGAGGCCCTGCAGGATGTTCCTATCCCCAGCCACCCCTCCCCTCCCCTCCCATCCTGGCGGCAGGATCGGGCATCACCTTCTTTGCAATATCTTTTCTCCTGGACTGGGGGACCCTGGCCAGCCCTGGTGGGGCAGGCACTGGGGTCCATCTGTGGCAGCCAGCCAACCAGCGTGGCTGAGACTGGCTCACTCCAACGCCCCTTTGGGAGTCTCCATAAAACACCTCAGTTTTGGGGGACCCAACTTTGCTGGCCCTGCTGTGAGCTCAGCCCCAGTTAGCCTGCCTGTGACTGCCGGAGGCTTGAGCCCAAAGAAACTTCGCTTCTCCCCCCGCTGCCACAGATGTGCTTCCCCCCATGCCACGGCAGGGGGCTGCATTGCCTCCTCACTGCAGGGTGGAGGAAGGGGCTTTGCAAAGTGCTGCCGTGCCCTGGGTCGTGGCTGACTGCTGTAGTGCTCTTTTCTCCACCTCCCTGCCCAGACCTGCTGCCCCAGGAGCCACAGCCCTGGTAGGGCTGAGCTGGCATCCATGTACAGCAGGATGGTGCTGGGGGACCTGTGGGTACTGACACCATGCAGGATGGGAGGAGGAGAGGGAAGAAGACAGTATCCAAAGGACCCAGTGGGCATGGAGGATGGTGGAGGGCTTGGGAGGAGATGCAATGCCACAGCTGTTGCCGGCACAGATTTGGGAGGGGGTTCAAGGGACCATTCCAATGGATCATTGCCCTCTCCTGTTCTTGGGGATTTTCAGGCGGGTACCAGCCCTGGTTCTGTGCCACAGGGCTGGGAGGGAGAAACTGCCATCGGGCTGAAAAGGCAGTTTTATCCACAGTGGGCTTTTATACCAATAAAATTAAGTACCACAGACAAGCAGGGTTCTGTGTGGCCAGCAGCGCTGCCCTTGTGGGGAGGGTACAAGCAGTGGTAACAATGGGTTGTGCTGCTGTGACTGGAGCAGGCTGGTCTGGCAGTTGCAGACCCCATTTGCCTGCAGGCCTTGCTCCTGCTCTGTCCATCCTAACAGTGGCTGAGCTCTA